ATAAAACAACAACTTGGTTAGAAATGAATACTTAAATAGACACTGCTCAAAAAAGCACATACAAATGGAAAATAGCCATATAAAAAATGCTATTAACCATCAGGGAAATTTGAATTACAACAGCAGTTACAAATCACCTTATAGCTGTTGGGATAGTAGTTATCAAAAAGACAAAACATAAGTGTGATGAGAACGTGGGAAACAGAGAAACCTGTGCAATTATCATGGGAACATAAGTTAGGATAATAATTATGGAAAAAACAGTTTGGAGGTTCCTAAAAATTAATTAAGCTGAACTATCATAGAGTCCAGCAATCCTACCTCAGGTATATAGGCAAAGAAATTGAAATCAGTATGTCAAAGAGACATCTAGGGCTGAAGAGATAGCTCAGAAGAATAAGCACCTGCCTGGCAAGAGCAGGATCCTGAGTTCAATTCCCAGTACCACAAAAGAGAGAGAAAGACAGAGAGACAGAGACAGAGACAGAGACAGAGAGAGACAGAGAGACAGAGAGAGAGAGACAGACAGACAGACAGACAGACAGACAGACAGACAGACAGACAGAGACAGAGACAGAGAGACAGAGAGAGGTCTGTACTCTCATGTCATTGTGCCACTGTTCACAATAGTCAAGACATAGAATCATCCTAAGTGGCCAACAACAGATAAATGGATAAAACGTAGCATATATAAACAATAGAATACTATTCACATATTTAAAAATTAGGAAAGCCTGTCATTTGTGTCAGCATGGATAAACCTGTGGATAGTGTGTTCAGTGACACAAGCTAGGTACAGAAAGATAAATGCCACATGATCTCACTCATGTGTGGAATCTACAAAAGTTGAATTCATGGTAGTGAGACTAGAATTGTGATTACCAGGTGCTATTTAGAAAGAAGCACTTGAGCAGTTGTTGCTCAAAGGCTACAAATTGCAGTTAAATAGAAAGATACCTTCAAGAAGTCTACTGAATATATAGCAACTACAATTAATATCAATATATACTATTCTTGAAAAATGCTGAGAGTGGGTGTTCAATATTCTTGCCACCAAAGTGCTAGCATGTTGGGTGCTGTGTGTGTTAATTACCTAGATTTAGTAATTCCACTCCACTATATATATATATATATATATATATATATATATATATATACAGTAATACATGATTATGATTAATACATTTTATTCTGTGAATTTAAACAAGATAATTTCTGATACTTTTGTGAAGAAAAGTAATCTAAAATGATGTGTTCTGTTTTGTTTATTTGCCTTTTTGGTTTTCATATATAAAAGATAAGAAGGTATATATAGAAGATAAGTTTATGTGGTAGTTGCCCTCATTACTTAAAATACATTTACTATTATCTAAAGCTTACATGTCACTTAGGATCATTTTTAAAATGCACCAAAAGAATTGACTTGCAGTTCATTTGGCCTTGACCACTGCTCACCAGAAGATCATTTGCCGTGATTGATTCAGTGTTTGTTAGCCAACAATCAGAAAGGGCAAAGCAGGCAAGGCCACCAGGCCTGAACACATGGAGAATCCCACATGCGCCAGCTGCTCTAAGTAGAATAATAGATAGAGGCAGAGTGGTGTGGCAGAGGTACAGATGGAGGGACCCAGCCACTGCCAAAACCAGAGTCATAAATCTGCCACTGAGAGCGAAATGGCATCCAGAGTGCGTTGTGGGCTTGGCAGAGAGAGCAAAGGCCCTTTACCTTCATAACTTCCATTCTCTAAGCAGAGTTGGCCTGATATGAGGCAATAGGGTCAAGGCAATAGGGTCCAGTCAATGGAGAAAAAATAGTACTCTGTGCATGGTTAGAAAAATGGACATTCATGAAAGGTATTAGTGCAGGAGAGCTAAGTTGTTTTATCAGCAACCTGTTATGTCTGTGAGTTTCCACAAAAATCCAGGAAGAGCTGACTGTGTTTCAATTATAAAGTAATGCCTTTTCTCCTCTCTTTATTCCTTATGCAAACATTTATTACAATATAATGTATTCCCTGCATTACCAGTAACTAGATATATAAATTAGAATGCATGTTAGCTCTGAATTTTTTTCTTTTATGCCTTACACTTCATTTTTTATTTGAGTGTTATTGAATGATCGTACAGTCTTTTGTCTCATTTAGCACTTATGACATACAAATCTGAAAACATTGTGGATTTCTCTGATCCCCATCCCTTTTGCTTTGTTTAGTCTCACCCACTTTGGAGTGGTTTTGCTCACATCTGTGAGTGAGTGTATTTGTATACGGGGGGCAAAAAGCAGGCTAGAGAGTAGAACGCTGACACCCAACTCATCTACCATCAGTGAGTTTGGTGTCAGTGTTTTACTCTTTAGCCTGCTTTTTGCCACCTGGTGTGCATAGTGCAAAGCTCTATTGAATGAAGAATTTCTAGGATTTGCACACCATTCCTGCAGAGCAGTAGTGGCAGACCTAGATGGCACACGAGCTGCAGCAGGCTGCTTTTTATCATTGAAAGCTTTAAAAGATTTACCATCACTGTTGTAGAGTAAGACTGAAGATTTTGAAATAGCTAAAGCAAGGAATGCTTATTCTCCCTTAGTGTTTATTCCTCTGGGCTTGTAAATCCCCATCCCATTGGTTATCATTAAATCCTATGGTTAATCATTAAATCATGTGTAATTATTAATTTTCCAAAGGAAAACAATAATTTTTCCCTACCCTAACAAAGTGACAACATAGCGCTTATGATAGAAGATATGTTTCTCTACCCTGATTTTCAAAACCTTCAAGGAGCTACCAAGAGACAAAGAAACATAAAAATAATAAACCCAGTGGAAACACCACTTTTGCTGAGGCTGTCAGAATTGTCCAGTAGATGTGACACCAGTCTTTAGCCAGAGAACTTTCTTGTACCAATAACAAGATTTTGGGGACCTCCCAGTCTGTGGGCTATACTGTGGATGATCAGCACATCATCATAGATGACATGAACCATGGTGCTGTGGAGTGCCCAGCTAGCTAAGAAGAATAAGGAAATATTTCAATAAAAAGATGATCTGACCAAAAAAAAAAAAAATGAAGAAATGTGTGTACATGTTGGGGTGTACTCCTCACATACTAAACAGTTCTCTAGTAGATACCAACTGTGTGTTCTATGATATGACTCAATTCTAATACTGCCCACGTGGAAATAAGATCTCATGAGTTGAGTTCTCATCTTTACAAGACTGTCCTCACTTTAGGTGCCAATCACAAGCAATGTGTTATAACCTGTATTTCTAATATAAATCAGGGCTCCCATGTTTCATTTGTCTGGTTCAGTTGATTTACAGGGTACTTTGCAGAACTGCTCGGATAAGACAACAAGGCATAGAAAGGTTAAATAGTGTGTCCAAGGTCAACACGATCAGTAGTCCAGAAATACAGCTTTGAGGTTGAAAAAGCTGGCTGCAGAGTTCTTCATTTTAAGCCCTAGACTAATATAAAGTAGGAACTAAATAAAAACAATTTGAATTTGCTTTGGTGTCCTTAATATCACAGACACTAAAGGCAAAACAGTTTAAATGCATTTTATCAATTTAAATGCATACTATTTCAACCACTGTGTAGTGGAAATGACCATCAGCCATATTTTAGAGCAGCCCTGACACAGTCTAGCTGTGTGTGGCCAAGTCTCTGAGATCCTTGGTTTTCTCGCCTATAAAAGAAAGGAAAAAACACTAAAGAAATTGTTTTGAAATTTTCTATTTCCATTGCCTATGTGCCTTCTATGATATAAACATCTTTATCCATAGAAACAAATATTTCAAAACAAAAGAGAAATATCACACATGGGATTTCTTAAAACGTTGAAACTTTCTCTAAAGTTGCAGGTGTATGGATAGCAAAGAAGATATGTAAACTCATATTTTTCTGTACAAATGCTTAAATTGAGATGAAAATAAAAGCAAGTGTATATAGGATGGCTGAGGTGGTTGCACTAAGAATTACCATCAGGTTTTTTTTTTTGTGTGTGTGTGTGTGTGGTACCAGGTATCGAACTCAGGACCTTGCACTTGCCAGGAAAATACTTATTCCATTGAGCTCTCTCCCTGGCCCAAAAGCAGTGTATAACACAGGCCAAGTGTGCTGTGCCTGTGATTTCAAGGGTAAATCAATGAAGTGTGCTGAACCATTCGTTACCAGTAAAGACAATTATGCGTACACTTAGGAGCATGTCACATTGGCAAAGGTCATGACACCCACTGGGCAATAGATAATGGTAATTATTAACACTTTTGTCTCTATTGATGGATATTACTCTTCAGTTGTAAGAGTTATAATATCCATCGATTGATGCATACTACTCTTCAGTGGCAGCATTTGTTAAAATTTGCTTAATGCCAATTCCTTGCTTTAATCCCTGCTTCCTGTGCTGGGTGTTGCAAGCACAGTTCAAGGGTGGACGATGTGTACTTTTCCATCTATAAGGGCACTGTGATTTAGGTGGTAATAGGTATTACAATAGCAAGAGGAAAGTGCCATAATAAAGGACATCAGACATTTCAAGGTAGGAGAAATGTATCTCAGGCAAACATAATCAAATAAAAATTTATAATGTGTGAATAATGATATTTTGCTGTATAAAAATACTGCTGCATTGTGATGTATGTGAATAGTCTTCTTTGGACATATTGACTCATCTGAATAATTTCCCATCGTTATAAATCACATATTGGATTTTAAAGAATTATACCTTGGAATGAGCCTTGTCAAATTCTGTTACAACCTATTATTTCAACTTATGTTTTATATGGCCTTAGAAATTTAATATTATGCCCTAACTCTATGAAATTATCAATTGCTGCTTTATCTAATTCTTTGAAGAATTCAATCCAAACTACTAATTCTTCATCTCTCTAACATTTTTCCCCCAAAGGGCTGTAAGTTCTCCAAAGTTACTTTTAAAACAACAACCCATCTCTCCTTAATCAAACAACTCTCCAGCTTGACATTTCTTAAACATTACTTTCGCAGATTTTTATCGGTGAGATATCCATGTATCTTATAAAGTCAACACGAGAATCCCTGATGGCTGAGGAGAAAACCATTCTAACTGGAGAATGCTGTTACCTGAACCCCTTACTACGAAGGATCGTCAGGTTCATAGGTGAGTACAAGAGCCTGATGTGCTAAGGCTCAATGTGCAGGTACGATGCACTAAACATGGTGAAATAAACTGGGAAACTCTCAGCTTTGAAAGAAAGGCTGCTTGGAGGACTTTCTACGAAGGACTGAGATGGAATCTAATCCTAGTGCCAAGTCAAATTTTTAATGCTTGAAATAAAGTGGTACTAATTAAATTGTCTTAGAAATGATTTCCACTTGGCCAGGCATACTGGCACATGTCTGTAATCTGAGCATTTGAGAGGCTGATTGATTGCCACAAGTTTGAGGCCAGCCTAGGTTACATAGTGAGTTCAAAGCCAGTCTGAAGTACATAATGAGACCCTGTCTCAAAAAAAAAGTAATTTTCTCCTGTACATTTATCTGAGATTCTCCTTGGAGAATCTCCTCCTAATATGGATTGAATATTGGCATATATATTTTAACTGGGTCAGGAAAAAGAAGTGGAAGGGGGCAAAAAGGGATGCATATAAAACAAATATAGAAATAATCAAATTTCCTGGCAATAATTTTATTATGAAGGGAATTTTTGAAAAGTAGAAATATCCATCAGGTTTTTAAAAATAATGCTTTTCCAATTTTGGAAAAGAAATCCTTGTATAAGTGTTTCTGGTTCATGATAAACAAGAAGAGAGACATGTTCTTCTTCCTCTAGGACATAGATAAAAACTCCTGCAGCGTAAAGGGTAGGATTGTACATGGGCACATGTGTATGGGTATAGGTAGAAATATAGATCTTGCACAGGTCATGCACACTAAATGATCAATAAATGATACTTATTATGATGTTTTAATGAGCTCTTGAAAGTATCTTCTGACTGGATCTTCTTGGGAGTCACAATAGAATACACTACTGTAAACATGGCTCCTTTTAAAAACAAGATGTGTAGAAAACACGTAGAACTGAGGGTCATAAACACAGCACACTCTCATACCTTTTGGTAATCACTAATCTTCTTTCTTATTGTAAGAGGGTTAAATTTCCTAAAGTTATGGATAAATGCCCACATCAAAATCAAGCATAGAGTAATGCCTCTGACTGGAGTGGCAATGAGGAAAGTAGCACAGGGGGAGCCTAAGCTAATTTAATGTGAAAGAAGCAGTCCTTAATGTCCAAATGGTCCTAGGAATTTATTAACGATATTGGCAGAATAAACATCTCTGCAGATTGTGAAGACTGCAGCCGGCTCTTTCACTTCAGCCTGATCATAATGTGGATGTGTGTAATGCCACTGCTGCGTATTTCACCAATCCAGATTATGGTTCCTTTCAAAGATGCCCAGAGTCAGATCACTCCTGGCCAAAATGGTCACTCCCCACAAATCATTAAAGAGAAGAGAGGAAAGAAGATATGTTTGTTATAAGGAACACTCAGCTGGATGCTTCGTATACACTATTCTATTTTATCCACTTGATACCTTGTAAAGTATTTTATAGCTCCAATTATAAAGATAATGAAACTGATAGAAAATGAAGTGAAGTAACTTTTGGAGAGAGTATTGTGCCTATGTACGCACACATGTACATGAAATAATAATGCAAGAGAGATTATATAGCCACCATGTGATCTGCTTCATCTGCACACAAAATTATGCAAAGCAGGTTATTAGGGTATAATTAAATTAAATGTCTTTAAAAGTCGCTTACTTTTCTTTAGCAAAGACAAATCAAACCTACTTGTGACTCACTTTAGATGAAATAGGATTCAAAGAACACAAAAATTGAACTGGTGCTAGGTATTTTTTCAGACCCATAGGCTGTGATGGAGAAAAGGATGCTCACGAAGGAGGTCAGAAGGCTTTCTCATCAAAGAACAAGGCCCCCGGATCGCCTGTTCTGGCACATAAATTTCACTTGAGAAACCAGACTGAGCTGAAGCACGATTTCAGTCCCAACCAACACTGTTAAAGTAGAACTCTGTTACTTTGAAACAACATCACATTCCTACATTCAGAAGTTTTAGTCCATTTGAGTCTCTCCTAAGCTAAGAGAGGCATGGATTCTGAAATCATAAGCTAGAGACATTCAAGTTGATCAGTTAGGGGTGGGCATTATAAGGAAGAGAAGCCAAAGCGAAGAGATAGCCAGCAGGTAACATGTGAATCTTGGAGAAATGGAGGGAACAGCATTGAAAGGCAAGGACAATTGTACATGTAAAAAGTATTTGCTTCATGCTTTCCCTCTTTAGCTTTATGAAACCAGAAGCTTCCCAATTGCTCAGGTAGAAAATTGGGGAGATACACTAAGCTATCTGGGAAATAGTTAGAAATGCAAATTCTAGGTCCTTATTGTATACTTATTGATTAGAAAATCTGAGAATTGATCCTCATGATGTAAGTGTTAGGACCAGTATCCAGGCAATTGTGATGCATGCTGAAGTTTGAAAAGCACCAATTTAGACCATTAACAATTTTTGCTTCTGTAGTTGATTTCCCTATGTATTGTCTTGCATCTTAGTTCCATTCACTCCAGCCCCTCAAAAATCTTTCTGAATCAAAATTAGGGCAAGTTATTTTTCTAGCTAAGAGCTTTCACTGGATTCCTAGCATCCCTAACAGCCTGTAGAGTTCACAGATATCCTCTCTTGATATGTCTGCCAGCTCATCTCCCTCCAGCCTAGATTGCTTCATGGTTCCTGGAAAGGATGGTGTGACACTTTGCCCTCAATCCTGCTCAGATTCTTTTCCTTCTGTCTAGAACATACTATTGCTATTCATTTACCATAAGATCTGGCAAAGCCTTATCCATCTTTCACAGTCGTGTTTAAATATTACCATTTACCCTGCTAGAAAACCAGCAACCTGGGGTCTTTTAGGACCCCAGGGAACCTTGCACCTACTGCTCTTTTAAGTATGTCATAGTTGCATTAGTATAATTACTTAAATCTGTTACTTTTAGTGATGCGCAGTTCCTTAGACAGCAGGGACTGGGTCTCTTTCATTCTCTCAGCACATATTGTAAAGTATATCACACAGAGATTTTTCAATATATATATAGGTTTGGGAAAAAATGAAGAACAAAGATAAATTTTGTTAAACCATAGATTTGCCTAAAAATTATTTCACAAATGCTGATTCTTAAATATTCATTTTCCTCCCTTTTAATTATTTTTATTACTACTCTTCAGTTTATGTCTAAGACAATAAAGTACACAAAGTAGTTTCTAGGAGAAAGCCTGAAAAGCCTCTTTTGACTTTCCATATAGAAGGCTTGGAGGTAGAGGGCTGAGATGAGGTCGACTTAACTTGAAAGAGATAACTTAACCTTTATTTCTGAGTATCTATAAACAATTGTTTTCATAGGAGGAAGAAAATATAATACTTGGAGTAAAGATCCTCTAAGTAAAAATATTTGCTTTGACAAAAATTAAAAGTAAAATAAGATGATAATCAAAATATAAATGTTATTGTAAAGCACTGACTAGCCTTATTTTTTCCTAGTTCAATAAATGCCAAAACACACTACAGATTTGACAAGGGAAAATGACAAGTGTGAGATGACTTTTTTAATTAAACTAAAGTGGTGTGGCAAGAACAAGCCTTGAGAACCAGGTGCCCAGGGACTAGGCCAGCTCTGTGTGTGATTTATGTAATTATTCTAGATTCTATTACACATAGTATTTCCCAACACCTAGTTACAAAAAAAAAAAAAAAAAAAAACCAAGAAATTTAAAAAATAGACTTTAAGAAAATAGCATGTTACGTTACTAAGAATGAGAAAAATGGGATTCTGTTATATGTCTATAGGTATGTTGTTATGCCTTTTCTTCATTTCA